ATGAACAAGCATGTTTTTTTTAGGACTTTGAAAACCTAGTTTATTTTATAACCCAGACACAAAACAATCCATTACTAACTTTTCATTTGAGTTTAGCTTCAAGACCAATTTAAAGGCAGTTTTATTCACAAGAACCCTTCAAAACCACCATTGTGTTCAAAATGTTATACCTCCTAAATATACAGTCCCTACTTTGAGAGTAATAAAAGATTGACCTTTTTATAACAAGGAAACAAAAGTAAAATTGTAAAATGTGCGAATAGAAAGACTAAAACTGAAGGTCAGGAAACATTTTTTTTTGAACTGACCAACATGTGTTTGGCCTTCGGGGTGTTTATTAGAAACTGGTACTTTGCTGTGGTGTGTTTGTGTACACGGAGCAAGGTCGGCATTTTTACTCTGACAAGAATCCCAAACTCTGTCATCAATCTGACCGTCAGGGCTTCTGTCAAAACTGAACTTCATAAAGCACTCCCCATGGCACTGAGACACAACGACTGAAATGAAGGTGGGAACCGATTGGTAAAATAACCACAAAAAAAAAGGTAAGATAGAGAATAAAGAGAGACGGGAAACAAAAGAAGGTCTCTAGAAATCTCAACATCACTTTACGCTCAAGGGAGCTTTCTGTTGCTCAGTCTCGTAACCATCAAACAGACCACTGACTGTGATTTCACACAACATGAGAGTGAGCAGCACCGTGGAAATGAAGGCATGCATGAGCTACATCAGTGGTGAGCATTAGGGATGCACAATATTGGATTTTTGGCCAATATCCGATATGCCGATATGTTAAAACTTATTTGGCAGATAACCGATACCGATATTTTATATACTCTCCTTTGTCAGAACATAGCCCTCTTATTTAGGCTTATCTGCTACAAAAAATGTGTAACAGCTGTAAGAGCTGGTGACATATATTCAGTAACAACCATATGATATGCATAGCACTTTAACTTATATGACATGAAAAGTGTTAAATATTATTTATTAGCATTAGTCTCCTGCGATGTTTTCTCACTTGTGGAGGCTTGTTCCAGGTTCCTAGCTGCAGTGTGGGATCCTCTGTACGCTTGTGCATGAAGGACAGACTTTTTAAGTTCAAAGTTTTTGTCTATTCATTGTGCCGGAAGACTAATGTTGCTAATGGGGCTAACACTTGATGTCCAAATGTCTGTGGTAAAACTCACCCAAGTGCTATCGGCTATTAGCTTCTCAATGACGTCGGAAATGATGGTTTGTAACTCGGGTAAAGTTACGTCGGAAAAATATCTCTGACTGGGGACGATGTATCGAGGCTCAACGTAGTCCAAAAATCTTTGGAATCTGACATCCTCACCAATGAAAAAAAAAACTTCTGCACCGCCGACATTTTGAATTTTCCTCTTCACCGCGAGATCAGGTAGGCATGCGTGACATCATCACGTTGAGCTGGCGCTGCAGGCAGCCTTATCACCGGGTTGT